TTGACATTCTCTTAAGAGAAATGAGATTTTAAAGATGTATTTCCCAACTATTTTTAATTCTAAAGTCCTAAGAATGTGAAATTATAAGTGGGCTTTAAAGATAATGCAGTGATTCCCCAGCTTCCACTTAATCTCAGCATTTGAATTTGCAATTTTGCCTCAATGTACACAAAGCAAACACACAGACACATATACAAAATTTCTTCTTTCCAACATGGTTTCTATACTCAAAGGTAGAAATTAAGAACACAAACTCCCTCATCTAAAAGTGAAATTTTTATTAGTACACCACTGTAAAACACCTATGAAATTTCCTCCCATTTAACTTTATAGCAAAGAGTACACCTCAAATCAGAAAACATGGAACATAGACAAATACCAGTGATTCAGGTCAGGTGGCCATATTTAATTAATTGCTTTAAACAAAAAAATGACAAGTCACTTGTCATGTTCTTCTCTTGACAATCCATCATACTAACTGTAGATTGCTTCTGTGCATATATTTGCTTTTCCTTCCTCTTTTCTCCTCTTTGTAAGTTTCAGTTGTGGCTCCTATATTGTGGGATTCACTCAACAAGCCAAACTTCTCCCTTTCCTTTTCTATTCATATTATTTTTAAAAATCAACCACCTAGCCCAGCCAGTGTAGTTCAGTGGTTGAGTGTCGACCTATGAACCAGGAGGCCATGATTCGATTCCGGTCAGGGCACACGCCCGGTTTGCGGGCTCAGTCCCCAGTGTGGAGTGTGCAGGAAGCAGACAATCAATGATTCTCTCTCATCATTGATGTTTCTCTCTCTCTCCCACTCCCTTTCTCTCTGAAATCAATAAAAATATATTTTTAAAATAATCAACCACCTATTAAAATTTCTTAAATTGTCTATGTCTATCCAAATGCTACGTAAAGTTCACCAGCCTTACTTCAAACGCTAACTCATTGAGCAACGATGTAATCTGTTTCTGCATTTATAAAATAGGGGTGGGGATGCTTGAGGGGTGCCCTGGGCTTCTTGGTTAACACTGTCATGAGTTCATGGAACAGCATTTCTCCCCTACCTCCGCTCAACCCAGTAGGTACACACACCTGCAGCTCTGTCACCCTGGTCAAGTTACTTAACTTCTCTGGCCGTAAGTTGTTTGATTGTAAAAATAAAGGGACTGGACTTGAAGCTGTCTTCCATTTCTGACATTCTATTTTTCTCCAATTATGCTTGCTTTTTGTTCAATTACTATGTCAGTATATCTCAGTACTTTTATGTCACCTGTGGAATAAAAATTATTTTATTCTGTAATTACACTGATTTGTATTCTTTAATTGTCCACTGTCTCTTGGATTTAAGGTAGGCGAAATCAATATATTTCGTCAATATATTTCAGGAGGAGTTTGAATTTGATTCTACCTCAAGGTTTAAGAATGGGCTGAGTACAATTCAGCATAGCTAAGATCTGGAAACAGCCTAAGTGCCCATCAGTAGATGAATGGATTAGAAAACTGTGGTACATCTACACAATGGAATACTATGCTGCTCTAAAAAGGAAGGAACTCTTACCATTTGCAACATCATGGATGGAACTGGAGAGCATTATGCTAAGTGAAATAAGCCAGTCAATGAAGGAAAAATACCACATGATCTCACTCATTCATGGATAATAGAGACCATTATAAACTTTTGAACAATAATAAATACAGAGGCAGAGCTGCCTCAAACAGATTGTCAAACTGCAGCGGGAAGGCCAGGGAGGGTTGGGGGGCAGGAGGTAGGGGGGTAAGAGATCAACTAAAGGACTTGTATGCATGCATATAAGCATAACCAATGGACATAAGACACTGGGGGATAGGGGAGGCTAGGGGACTGTCTAGGGCGGGGGGATAAAATGGACACATATGTAATACCCTTTGTAATACTTTAAGCAATAAATTTTTAAAAAAAAAGAATGGGCTGAGTAACCTATAATTGAGATTTCTTGGTGAACTTTTAAGGGTAAGTATGGGAAGAATGTGGGGCATCTTTATCCACAATCAAAAGTTGCTTCATTCTACTATCATGCATGTTCCTTAAGGGAAAGATCTATGTCTGTGATTTTTCCCCATTTCTCCCCATGACTGTTCATAGTGGACATACAATAAATTGTTTACTATTTCACGTTTAGTTTCTATGCTGAGCACTTTGGCAGACTGAGACCTTGGATAAACATTAGAATAGAGCATAAAGAAATGAACATTTTTATGGTTATGTGATAGGCTTACTAGGTGGTATATATTTTTCTTGATGCAACAGTTTTTAATTAATTGTTTTAAAATTATGTCAGCTACAATAATTAAGACTATGGCATTGGTGAAAGAAAAGGCAAATGGATCGATGGAATAGAATAGACAGCCCAGAAATAGACCCACACAAATATAGTTAACTGATCTCTGACAAAGGAGCAAAGGCAATACAATGTAGCATGGACAGTATTTCTACAAATGATTCTGGAACAACTGGACATCCACATGCAAAAAAAAAAAAAAGAATTAATCTAACCACAGACAGCACACCCTTCACAAGAATTAACTTAAAATGGACCATGGACCTAAATGTAAAACATAAACCATAAATTTCCTAGGAGAAAATGTGGAAGAAAGCCTAGATGACCTTGGATATCTCGACAACTTTTTAGATACAACCCTAAAGGCATGATCAATGAAAGAAATAATTGATAAGAGAGACTTCATTAAAGTTAAAAACTTCTGCTCTCTGAGAGACACTGTGAAGAGAATGAGAACACAAGCCACAGACTGAGAGAAAATATTTGCAAGAGACATATCTGATAAAATGTTATCCAAAACACAAAAAGAACTCTTAAAATTCAACAATAATAAAACAGAGCAATTTAAAGAATAGGTGGCCATATTTAATTAATTGCTTTAAACAAAAAAAATGACAAGTCTAAAGACCTTAACAGACACCTCAACAAAGAAGATATACAGATGACAAATAAGCACAGGAAAAGATGCTCCACATAATATGTCATCAAGGAAATGCAAATTAAAACAATGAGATACCATTATACAACCATCCGAATGGCCAAAACCCAGAACACTGACAACACTGAATGTGCAGCAACAGGAACTCCAGTGCACGGCTGGTGGGAATGCAAAGTCACACAGCCACTTTGGAAGACAGTTTGGCATTTTCTTACAAAACAAAATATACACTCACCATATGATCCATCAATCCCACTCTTTGGTATTTACCCAAAGAGCTAAAACTTATGCCCACACAAAAACAGGCAAATGGATGCTTATAGCAGCTTTATTCATAAATGTCCAAACCTGGAAACAACCATGATGTCTTTCAGTAGGAAAGTGGATACACTAATTAGTGTGTGTGTGCGCGCGCGCGCACACACACACACACACACACACACACACACACACACACACACATACACACGGAGCTATCAAGCCAGGAACCTTTAATGCATATCACTAAGGTAAAGAAACCAATATGAAAAGGTTACGTACTGTGTGATTCCAACTACAGGCATACCTCATTTTTTTTTCTGTGCTTTACTTTATTGTGCTTCACAAATGTCTCATTTTTTTTTTTTTTTTTTTTTTGCAAATTGAAGGCAAGACCCTCCACCAGCAAAATGATCGTAACTCGCTTTATTGCAATACTCACTTTATTACAGTAGTCTGGAACCACAATATCTCCTAGGTATGCCTGTATGTAACATTCGGGAAAAGTCAAAACTATGGGAACAGTAAAAAGAGGAGGGAGGTATGAATACACAGAGCACAGAATATTTTTAGGGTAGTGAACCTATCCTATATGATGCCATAACTGTAGATACAGGTCATTTTTCATTTGTCCAAACCCGCAGACTACATCACACCTGATGCGAAGTATGGACTCTGGGTGATAATGATGTGTCACTGTAGGTTCGATTGTAACAAATGTACCTCTGGTGGGGGTGTTGATAATGGGGGAGGCTATGCATGAGTGACACAGGAGGTATATGGGAATCTCTGTAACTTCCACTCAATTTGCTGTGAACCTAAAACTGCTCTAAAAAAGAAAGTCTATTCAAAAATTAAGTCAACTTTTAATGTAAATATTTATATTATCCCCATTTCAGAGATGGGGAAAGAAGCTTGGAGATTAAGTAACTCCACCTGGAAATGGCAGAGTGAGCAAAGAAAATCAGGTCAGCTTGACTCCAAAGCCCACCGTCTCGATCATTCCCTTGTACAACAACATTACACAGAAGCTTCCTCATATAAGCTAGTAATAGATCTCCAATAATCAGAACTCCTTTCTGAGGCTTACATTAGAGAAAATGAAACTGTCAAAGAACAATTCCAAGTCAAAGTGACTGACAATGGGTCCAGCTGGTGCGGCTCAGTGGTTGGGCATCAAGCTAAAAACCAGGAGGTCATGGTTCATTTCCTAGTCAGGGCACATGCCCGGGTTGCAGGCTTGATCCCCAGTGTGGGGCATGCAGGAGGCAGCCCATCAATTATTCTCCCTCATCATTGATGTTTCTATCTCTCTCTCCCTCCCTTCCTCTCTGAAATATATATATATATATATATATATATATATATATATATATATATATATATATATATATATATAATGATTAACAATGGTATTAATGGTCACTGCTTTAGGAAAAATAATTTCCCATTTGATTCATAATAGTATTTATTTTAATCACAGCAATGATATTCATTTTCTTCTGTGTTTTTCTAAAATTTTTTCAATAAAAATATAAATAAGGTTTCAACCAGATTTTTCCTTTGTCTTTACAGATGAACAGTGGGCTGTGTGTCCATTGTTTACCAGCAAGGAAATAGTTAAATCTTGAGGGTGCACCCTGGTGGATATCTCCCTCAACCATCTAAAGAAAAAAAGGTCACAGTCAGTTACTCCCGTTAGAGCAGTGTTCGCCTGAACATCTGCAGGCACGCGCGCGCACACACACACACACACTCTCTCTCTTTACCGTCCGCCTTCTGCCTGCCACGGCCAGAGTGGGCAGTCAGTGAATCTTCCCCAAGTCCCGCTGACATTTAATACCTGGTTTAGCGGCAAAGACTCAGAGAGGGGTGAAGCGGCCCCTCTGGCATTCAGGTAGGTCCAAAACCTTCATTTCTACCAAAGCTGAAAGATGGGCACCTATGTTTGTCAACTGTAAGGGAAAGACCCTTCAGCAGCGTGTTAGTTAGCAGGTGGACTGGATGTCCAGATGGGGAAGGGATGATGTCGAGTTTGGAAACTCTGGGGCCTTCTGGTCTCAAGCTGCTGCAAGGATTTAATCCCTGTGGCATCAGAGCCCATTATTAATCTTAGCGCATAAATGCTTCTCTGGCCTAAATGTCACAAGGAAGACCTAATTCTGGTTTGACTGCCAGCAAAACAAAACAAAACAAACAAACAAACAAATCAGATAATGTATGCCTCAAACCTGATTAACCGCGCCAGGTATGGTTAATTCATGCACCAAACGACTGCAGTTGCATGAGGTCACCTGCTATTTTGGAGCAATCAGAAAAACATTGGTGACACTGATGAGTAAGTTTTCATGCTTTGGAGTACAGTGGTTTTCTTTGAGAGGAAAGGAGTCCATTCAGGCACAAGAAACTACAAGCTCAGACCTCACACCATCAGTCCTCTTTTGATTCTCAGCTATGCCCTGGCTTCACGGTGCACAAATGAACATCTCCCAGCTGAGAAACGTTCGCATGGGGTTGAGAAAATTGTTTAAGTTTATTGAGCCTACAGAACTGTCTTTTAAAAAGAATACTGAATGTGTTGGTTTTGAAACTTCCTTTGGTTGAAGAACAGTGTCTTCTTTTTCAAAATCTGCCTGTTTTATCCAGCCTATTTAATGAAAGTTAGTTATTTTAATTCTAGTATAACCTTTTAAAAACTCTTACAAGAAAAGATGTCACTAATATAGGCATATTAAAACCATGGAAAATATACAATAGTCTATTCTAGTAAAAACATATTCAAGTGAATAAAGCAAAATTTCAAAAACTAAATAAATATTGCAAAATAATGTGAAAACACCTTCAATGTTCCTGTTTATTCTTTACATACCTAAGTTATCTGGTCACGGTTCAGTTATGGGTAATCTAACATTAAGTACACCAATAGCTGAACTGTGTTACAAGAGGCGTTAATTCATCTTAACAGAAGTAAACATGAGCATTGTTTTTAGGTGCCTGAAATGATGAGGTGGGCCAATGGCAGGGCATCAAAGAGAGAACAGGTCAAAAATCTTTAGGAATCTGAACTAAGCTACAACAAATGGGTAGTATTCCTTATGCCTTGCCCAAGAAAATGTTTCTGTTTCATCTACGTTAATCATGTTTTGACTCATGAGAAGCCGATATCTCTATGACAACCTTACCATGAAGCCAATGGGCTGCAATGAAAACAGTTTTTTTAAAGCTTGCTGCTTAAAACCAAGTGTTCTTGGCGTATGTTCACCCTGGATGGGCTGCTTTATATCCTACTAACAGCCTTCATCAGTGTTTAAACAAACAGGCTTTGGCTTCAGAAATCCCTCCACCCAAAAGTGGGCAACTCTGTGCCCATCATCACACAGTATGCTGGGTGTGATCACTTAGGGTTTGCATTTACGGAATTGAGGGTCAACAGTTTTTCCTTTTAGTTCCTTTTCCACTTTCTTAGTGGCACAGATGCCTTCTCTTATGTATACTTGGGTAGGCCACAAAGAAAGAAAACACTTGCCCACGTTATTTCAAAAGCAGGGCAAGCTGCTGAACCTACAAACCACTGTGGTCTGAGGAAGAGAGAAGCTTGCTTTAGCAACAGTCCGTCTCATACACCATTCATTTCTCACTTGGTTTAATAACCCACAGGATGATTGATTATTAAAAGATCTCACCTTGAGGACTCTCCCAACTAAAACTAATGGGTAGAAAGGATATTTAGCAATTAATTACATCCGTCTACAGAAGTAATTCAAGGCAGAAAGCCCCACCAACATCTCGGACTGACCATAGATCCTAAATAGTCCCAGGAACCTTTGGAGGGTGTGTAAAAATAAATTATAGTATCAACATTTACTGAATACTTATTATGTGCGAGGCACTCTGCTATGAGATTTACATACACAGGGATTTACATTACCCCCATTTAATCTTCAAAGCAACCCAATGTAGCCTTAGCCAGTTTTGCTCAGTGGATAGAGCACTGGCCTGTGGACTGAAGGGCCCCGAGTTCGATTCCAGTCAAGGGCACATGCCTATTGGGCTCGATCCCCAGTAGGGGTCGTGCAGGAGGCAGCCAATCAATGATTCTCTCTCATCATTGATGTTTCTATCTCTCTCTCCCTCTCCCTTCCTCTCTGAAATCAATAAAAATATATTTTTTAGAAGACCAATATATAGATACTAATATTATCCTCATTTTACAGATATGAAAAGACAGGGGGAAAGTAACTTGTCCAAGATGGTTCTAGAGCAACTAGTTTTAGAGCCCAGACTTGGACTCAGACAATCCAATATAAGACTGCATATTTAATGTGGGGTTACAGAAAGGGCCACAAGAAGGGTGAAATATTTCCTTTGATCTAAATTGAACCCATCACCAGCATCTCCACTACATATGCTTATCCAATTTTCATTAGTCTAAACATAATTACCAGTCTATACCTACTAACCAGATTCCCGAATCTTAAAGCCCTTCTAATCATCTTAGTATTATAAATATGATCGGCCATGACCAGCAGGTAACTGTGTACTAACAACCTTCCTTTTGATAAGTTCAAGTATAATCATAACAACTATCCCTAAAACCCAGAGCAAACTATCATGTACCATGTGCAACGTCCTGTTCGAAGTCCTTTATAGGTGTGCATTAATTTATTAATCAAGACTTACCAACCTATGAAGTAGGTAAAACAATTATCCCATTTCACAGATGAGGAAACTGAAGCAGAGAGACATCAAATTACTTGCCCACATTCACGTACTTAGTGGCAGAGCCATGAGTTGAATACGGCCAGTCAGCCTTCAGAGTCCATACTGTCAGCCACTGTTTTATGAAGCATATAAACCATTTACTCTTAAAAGTCAAGGAACCTGTGTTATTTTGTTTCCTTTCTCCTTGTAGTGCCTAGGACTTCGCTCTGCGAACAGGGAAGGTGCTTCTCATTAAGGCTCCTGACATCTCTCTACGGTAGGTGACAATAATAAAAATAAAAATTCATCAAGCTTACTTCACCTAGCAGATACCTTTGGAAAAAATACTGTCATACAAATATTAAATCCTGGATAATGGTGGCACCTTTTGGCTTAATGCCTGCTTCAGGGTCACTGAAGAATTACTTCAAACGTTTTGGGCTGGAAGGAGAGGTCTGAATTAACAGCCACTAACTCTATTTTCGGAAAGGGAGAGGGAGGGGGAGAAAGAGAGATAGTGGTTTAGGGGTCTTCTCTGCTTCGCTAAAAGAACCCTAAAACCCAGAGCAAGTGCAGTTGAGAAAACAAAGGGCCTTTGACGTGGCACTCACTTAAAGTCTAATTAATGTATATTTTCATGACTAAATACAAGAATGGTAAAATCATTATCAGGTCGCTTCTACCCTACACTCCAGGTATTCTGAGACTCGCCTTTCTGTTCTGCAAAACAGTCACGGCTTCTCCAACCTCGGCGCGCCCCTGAGCTCCCAGTCCCGGCCACCTGAGGATGCTCAGGGGTGCGATTCCTGGCGGAGCGCTACCGCTTCCAGGCAGCCCTCTGCAGGGACACCCCGGCCGGGCGTCCTTCAGGCTCCGGTTTCCAGGCAACCCCACTCAGGCCCGAGCAACTCTTCCTCCTCCTAGGTCGCCAGTTTAAGAGTCCCGGGGAGCAGCACCGGGGAGCCCTGGGCAGAGGGCTGGCTTCAGCCGCTCCAGGTGCTGCAGACTTCCCTGACCCGGATGTTGGGGCTGCGGTAGCCACTCTCACCTCCCAATCCCTAGATTTCCGCTCTGGCTCCAAATCTAGTCACCTCGCACTTTTGACGTCCTCCTTCAGAAAAAAAAAAAAAAATCCTAGGAGTCTCCCCCTCCGGAGCAACGGAGCAACGGACCCTGTCTTAGCCATGCAACCCATAGAGAACTGATTCCTGGGAAATGTAGTTCTTTCTGACGTTAAGTGGTGAGTTTTAAGGAAAAAGGACTGCAATTCCCAGAAATCTAAGGGAGGATTGTCCAATTCTAAAACGTGTCCCAGCTGCTTGCATTGTATTTAGACAGGAAGGTTCTGTGGCTCTTTGCTTACCTAACTGCCTGGATTGTACTAATTCAGTCCCACTACAAGTTTGTGGAAGAACTTTTGTTTAAAACATGTGTGAGGGGATCTAAACACAGTTATTTATAGAAAGAGTTTTAGTAAGTTAATTTTTTTTGTAATTCTTTCAGATAAAAGAACTATCCACAATCAGAAAATATGTCACTTCAGATGGTTACAGTCAGTAATAACATAGCCTTAATTCAACCAGGCTTCTCACTAATGAATTTTGATGGACAAGTTTTCTTCTTCGGCCAAAAAGGCTGGCCCAAGAGGTCCTGCCCCACTGGAGTTTTTCATTTTGATGTAAAACATAATAATCTCAAATTGAAGCCTGCCGTTTTCTCTAAGGATTCCTGCTACCTTCCTCCTCTTCGCTACCCAGCCACTTGCACATTCAAAGGAGGCTTAGAGTCTGAAAGGCAACAATACATTATCCACGGAGGGAAAACACCAAACAATGAGCTTTCAGATAAGATGTATGTTATGTCTGTTGTGTGCAAGAACAACAAAAAAGTTACTTTTCGCTGCACTGAGAAAGACTTGGTAGGAGATGTTCCTGAAGCCAGATACGGTCATTCCATTGATGTGGTATATAGTCGAGGGAAGAGCATGGGTGTTGTCTTTGGAGGGCGGTCATACATACCTTCTGCCCAGAGAACCACAGAAAAATGGAATACTGTAGCAGACTGCCTGCCCCATGTTTTCTTGGTGGATTTTGAGTTTGGTTGCTCTACATCATACATTCTTCCAGAACTTCAGGATGGGCTATCTTTCCATGTCTCCATTGCCAGAAATGATACCATTTATATTTTAGGAGGACATTCACTTGCCAATAACATCCGCCCTGCCAACCTATACAGAATAAGGGTTGATCTCCCCCTGGGTAGCCCAGCTGTGAATTGCACAGTTTTGCCGGGAGGAATCTCTGTCTCTAGTGCAATCCTGACTCAGACAAACAATGATGAATTTGTTATTGTGGGTGGCTATCAGCTTGAAAATCAAAAAAGAATGGTCTGTAACATCATCTCCTTTGAAGACAACAAGATAGAGATTCGAGAGATGGAGACCCCAGATTGGACCCCAGATATTAAGCACAGCAAGATATGGTTTGGAAGCAACATGGGCAATGGAACTGTTTTCCTTGGCATACCAGGAGACAATAAACAAGCTGTTTCAGAAACATACTATTTCTACATGTTGAAATGTGCAGAAGATGATGTGAACGAAGATCAGAAAACATTCACCAATAGTCAGACATCAACAGAAGACCCAGGGGACTCCACGCCCTTCGAAGACTCAGAAGAATTTTGTTTCAGTGCAGAAGCAAATAGTTTCAATGGTGATGATGAATTTGACACCTATAATGAAGATGATGAGGAAGATGAGTCTGTAACTGGCTACTGGATTACATGTTGCTCTACTTGTGATGTGGATATCAACACTTGGGTACCATTTTATTCAACTGAGCTAAACAAGCCTGCCATGATCTATTGCTCTCATGGAGATGGGCACTGGGTCCATGCCCAGTGCATGGATCTGGCGGAACGCACACTCATCCAGCTGTCGGAAGGAAGCAACAAGTATTACTGCAATGAGCATGTGAAGATAGCAAGAGCATTGCAAACCCCAAAACAAGTTCCCCCCTTAAAAAGGCCTCCACTGAAATCCCTTCACAAAAAGGGTTCTGGGAAAATTCTTACTCCTGCCAAGAAATCCTTTCTTAGAAGGTTGTTTGATTAGTTTTACAAAAACCTTCCAGATTCAAGTACATCGAGTTTTTAAACCAATTATAAAGAATCATAGCAATGATAAAATTATATTCATCCTTTCCTTTATTGAAAATTTCTGCATTTGCTTTTAGTTAGATGAAATTTGGTACCAGTAAAAAGTACTTATAATACAGTACTAAGTAATTGAAAATATTTTACTCAAAGATATCTTAAATGAATATTTCTGACCTGAATTTCTTCAAAGAATCTTAAATGCAGAATTAGTAATAATAAGATAGATAGATAGACTCCATTGGCATGAATAAATAGAAAAGGAATAATCCTCAAGTTAGTTAAATTTTTATCAAGTATCTGCATGAACTTTCTTTGAAGGATCCCTCATCATATGGTATACAAATGATAATCCAAAGCCAGTCACTTGAACTGATTCTTGGAGAGAATCAGTTCACTGATGCTTAGTACTCTGAAAAAAAAAAAAAAGAAAATGAGTGAGAGTACACTAAAAAAAATTAGGGGGTACGGGATAAATCTCACAGAGAAAGATAGTATTGTTTATTTCCCCCAAAAATAAAAAGTTTAAAGAATTTCCTATAGTTAACAGGTAGAAGACTTCAAACAAAGGGAAATAATTTATGTATGTGTCTAGTTAATATGAGGAGTTTGCTGCCAGTGAAACTGTAAAATCAGTGAGCTTGTTAAGGTTCAATAAAATACTTTCTAGAATGCAAGTTAAAAGGACTGTTAATTTTGAGGCTTAGAGACATCAATCGATAATTAGATGACCTTTGAAACAAATATCTCCCCCCACCCCCCACCACCACCAAAGTATTTTTCTGGAAAGGAGTTTTACCTTAACCCAAGAGCCTAAGCCATAGACTCTTGTCATCAGTCTTCAATGAGAGTCCACAATGTAAGTTACTATTGCAAATTTTTGAAAAATATGAACCATACAAAAGATAAAACCCTGGAACCCAAGTTCTTTTATTCCTAACAGTTCCATGTCTTAGATGTTAAAATTAACTTGAATAAATTAAATCATGTTAACTTTGTTTCAGTAATGTTGTTTGATGAACATTCCTTTTGAACAATTTGCTGTGTCATTGTTTTGATTTTTTGTTATTTCTATCATCTACATGAAACTAATAAAATATTAAAATGCCTCTTGTTTATACTGATTTACTCCAATTATTAACATTTATAGTTACCCAATGAAAGGCAAAATTATACTATTTAATAGTCTCAGGATCCCGGTAATTTCTTTTCTATCTGTTAGTAGAAACTGGTATAAGTTACTAGTAGAGCTAAAATATCCTTCACAGAGTTCAAAAGAGTTATTCCTTCTAGAGGCAGATACAAACTCTTATCTTGATTTGTCTACAGATTAGAAAAAGTAAAATTGTCATTCATTCATTAGTTCTCTATGGAAGAATCAAAATGTAAAATACATGTACAAAGATATAGTGTTAATAAACATAGCAAAAGAGCCACATACTACGGTCGTTTTTATTAATATCCATTGTTCAAATATAAGAAAATTATACTTATCCAAGTTAGTAAAATCTTTTAAAATATTATCTTTAGAGAATATTATTTAAAAGGGCAATGTCATTTTCAGACATGTTCTGAAATTTAAACTCATTTTGTAACAGAATTACAGAATAGCATCTTAATTAAATTAAATAGTATCTCAAATTATTGTCACACTACACAGACTTCATCATCTCTCCTCAATACTGTTTCAGCATCATCTAATGACTTCTACTCTTACACCTAAACCAGTAAACTACTATTTACTAAGTATACTAAGTGTCTGACTTTAACCAACTATGAATTTCATGAGAACTCAAATGGTGACTTTATAATTTTGGTATTCCCAGTACTTAGCATTATGCCTGGCCTATTGTAGGCTTCTAAAGTGCAGTTGAACTGAACTGAATTAAATTAAATTGATTGGTGACTTCCATCTATATTCCAGTAAGGACAACCTATTCTTTGTCTAACATAACACTAAGATACACACACACACACACACACACACACACACACACACACGAGACAACCTATACATATATATGTGTGTGTATTCTTAATACCAAACCCTGCTTCTGGTACATTAGTTAATGCTCAATAAATGTCCATTGAATTAAGTTCACTGTATATCGACTGAAATGTACTCACTTCTGTAGTTGTTGTCTCACTATCCTTCTGATTCCTAAATAAGTGAAAGATGAGATATGGAAATGCATCCCTTGTGTTCCAAATATCTTTACCAATCAAACCATCTCATCCCGCAGAGCTTGGAAACAAACAAAAAAACAAAAGTGTACTGCACAGAAGATGGGGTGAGGTCTTGATTAAATTTATTCTCTTTTGTAGTGAAAAGAGGTCACACAGGTTTAGAATGGATATCATGGTAAATTTAGGTAGAAAAGGCAGCCATTCTAATCCCCAGTGACAAGAATTCCAAATAATTTATATGCTACCAAATTCCACCATAGCATAGAATATTGCTTTTTGACTGGGAATTTAGCATAGATGATGCCAGCTTTTGCCAAACCTACTTCTGTCAGGAAACACCTAACGTAGGGATCTTATTTCTAAAAGAACTAATACCTCATTCTCTCTCCAGATGTCAATCTAGTAGATGTGTATTTATTTAAGTCATAATTTTGTGAGACTAGATAGGAAAACTTACCAATAACATTCCTTTTAAAAAGCTGATTAGCATGTATAGCTTAAGAATAAAGAGCCAAGTAGCCTCTTTGGGGTATCCACCAGTAAGCATTTATAGACAGTCCAAGGTCTACGCAAAATATGATGGGACCTGCAAAAGAAATGTAAAAGTGGAGCCCGATCCTTGGGGAAGTTACAGTCTCACTGTAGAATGAGGCAAGGGGGCAAGGCAGGAAAGTGATAGAAAATAAATACACTTCAAGCAACTGGTGACAAATTTAAAATTGGGTATCCATGAAGGAACACTTTCCCTTTTTTGTAACAGTAAGTCAGTATGTATTTTGAGACAGCATTGTCACCATCAGCTGGGGGGGTGGAAATGATTGGGTAAAAGCCAGAAGGAAAAGGAAGTTTCCATGAGAAAGAAGGAAACAAGTCAGGGGAAGGAATGCTGACTTCATGAGAGGATGAGTCTGCCAGGGAGGCACCCACAGACCCTCCCTTCACCTCCTCCCGGTGGGGCACAGTCGTCGGAGGGCATGAGATGTGTGCAGGAGGACATGTAGAACATGTCAAAATGTTTGAAGTTGCCACTCCGTCATTTAAATGAGTAGGCATAACTTTTCTCACTCTTGGACAAATCCCCTCACACTTAACACCTTCCTAATGCATTCTGCTCATATCCCACTCCTCTCTGGCCGTGGACTGTATCAGTTGTCTGCCTCAAATTCTTCAATGGTTTCCATTTGCGTTTGGGGTAGGATTGAAAGTCTTGACCTAGCCCAGCCGGTGTTGTTCAGTGGTTGAGCATGAACCCATGAACCAAGGAGTCCCTGGTTCGGTTTCCAGGCAGGCCTGATCCTCAGTGAGTCGGGGCGGGGGGGGGGGGGGGGGGGAAATGCAGGAGGCAGCCAATCAATGTTTCTCTCTCTGTTCCTCTCTAAAAATCAAATTTTAAAAACATTTTTTCTAAAAAAAACAACCACAATCTGTTGTTACTTTAAAACAAAAATTAAATAAAGTCATGACCCAATCAACCTGTTCCTGTGCAATGAGGCCTCTGCCTGATCCTCCACACGCACTAGCCCCTCCCTCACCTTCACTCAGTCAGCTCCTACAGGAAGGCCCTTCCTTTTGTTCCAAAACATCCTGCCTCAGCATCTGCTCACAGTCTAAGTGTTCTCCAGTCCATCACCTCTCACCTGTCTCCATCCACTCATTCTACCAGTCTCCTCCTAAAGGTTCCTCCTTCCTAGGCGGTTTATTTGGTTCCCCAGATTAAACCCCATTGTGCTATATTGTATTTTTATTGCACCTGGCACTTTTCCTTCGTGAAGCCAGCTAGAGTGTGTAGTCATGCATTTATTAGGTTTATTGCTGGTGATGTCACCTCCCCCAAAGTCTTTGTGAGCCATAACCATCTGTGTTACTGTAGCTCCAGTGCCAAGCACCCATTGCCTGCTCATAGAAGGCATTCTATAAATACTTGTTTAAAATATAGGCTGCAGTAGTTCGAAAAAGTACCAGGAACAATATAGAATATAGCTGGGTTTTCAAGGGTAAGGAAATACTTCATTATTTTTAAATTATTTCAAAGAGGAAGGGTGGGAGAGATAGAAACATCAATGATGAGAGAGAATCATTGATCATCTGCCTCCTGCATGCCACCTACTGGGGTTCGAGCCTGTAACCCGAGGCATGTGCCCAAATCAGGAATTGAACCATGACTTCCTGGTTCATGGGTTGACATTCAATCACTGAACCACACTGGCCAGATAAGATACTTCATTTTTAAATTCAAAGGTAATATTCAAATAATTGGCCAAAGAGTACCAACTTTCAGTTATGAGTTTTAGTTCTGAGGAACTAGTGTACAAGGTAGTGATTATAGTTACTGATATTATACACTTAAAATTTGTTAAGACAGATCTTAAGTGTTCTCACCACACACACACACACACACACACACACACACAATAAGTATGTGAGGTATTGGACGCATTAATTAACTTGATTGTGGTATTTTACAATGCATATGTATATCAACTCATCATGTTGCACCTTTAAATATGTATATAATTTTGTTTGCCCATTATACCACAAAAAAAGTTGGGGGGAAAATGAAACAAGGCAAGGAAATACTAGTAAAAAAAGTAAAGTAAATCGAAGAAGATTCTAGCCTGGTGCTGGATCCATAAGGCTCCTGCTGTGCTGGGAGTTAACCTGCCACTTGCTGGATTGTGGGTTTCTGGAGGATGAGGCAGAGCTGCTGGAATAGGGAAGGGTAGTGGGGGCCTTGGAGCACAAGCTGTTTACCAACAAATACAAGCATACTTTGGTGTTTTAAAGCTGTATGGTTACTGAGGCAGCCCGGCTGA